GCTGCCACTTTGCTTTAGTTGTTGATTATTTCTAATAGTTTTCTGATGGATTCTTTAGAGTTTTCTATATATGAAATCATGTCATCTGCAAACAGCAGCAGTTTCATTTCTTCCTTACCAATTTGGATACGTTTTATTTCTTTTTGTTGCCTAATTGCTCTGGCCAAAACCTCCAGTACTATTTTGAATAAGAGTGGTGAGAGTGAGCACCCTTGTCTTGTTCCTGTTCAGAGTGGGATGGCTTTCAGTTTGTCACCATTAAGTATGGTGTTTGCTGTGGGTTTGTCATATCTGGCCTTTATTATGTTGAGGCACTTTCCTTCTATACCCATTTTATTGACAGTTTTTTTCATACACGGATGTTGGATCTTGTCAAATGCTTTCTCTGCTTCTACTGAGATGATCATGTGGTTTTTATTCCTCATTTTGTTAATGTGGTGTATCACATTGATTGATTTGTGGACGCTGAACCATCCCTGCATCCCTGGTATAAAGCCCAGTTGATCATGATGTATGATCCTTTTGATGTATTGCTGTATTTGGTTTGCCAATATTTTGTTGAAGATTTTTGCATCTATGTTCATCACTGATATTGGCCTGTAATTTTCCTTCTTTGCATTATCTTTGTCTGGCTTTAGGATCAGGGTGACATTGGCCTCATAGAATGAGCTAGGAAGTGTTCCCTCTTCTTCAATTTTTTGGAGTAGTTTGAGAAAGAAAGGTATTAAATCTTCTTTGAATGTTTAGTGGAATTCTCCAGAGAAACCATCTAGTCCTGAACTTTTATTTGGGGGGAGGTTTTTGATTACTGTTTCAATCTTTTTACTTGTGATTGGTCTATTCAGATTTTCTATTTCTTTTCGATTTAGTTTTGGGAGGTTGTAAGAGTCTAAGAATTTATCCATTTCTTCTAGGTCGTCCAATTTGTTGGCATATACTTTTTCACAGTATTCTCTCATAATCCTTCTTATTTTTATGGTATGTGTTGTAATTTCTCCTCTTTCTTTTCTAACTTTATTTATTTAAGCCCTCTCTCTTTTTTTCTTAGTGAGTCTGGCTAAGGGTCTGTCAATTTTGTTTGTCTTCTCAAATAACCACCTCTTAGTTTCACTGATCCTTTCTACTTTTTTTAGTCTGTATTTCATTTATTTCTGCTCTAATTTTTATTATTTTCTTCCTTCTGGTGACCTTGGGCTTTATTTGTTTTTCTTTTCCTAGTTCTGTTAGGTATAATTTAAGATTGCTTATTTGAGATTTTTTCTTGTTTTTGAGGGGGGCCTATATTGCTATGAATTTCCTTCTTAAAACTGCTTTTGCTACATCCCAAAAGAGTTGGTATGTTGTATTTTTTTTTTTTTTTTTGAGGAAGATTAGCCCTGAGCTAACTGCTGCCAATCCTCCTCTTTTTGCTGAGGTAGACTGACCCTGAGCTAACATCCATGCTCATCTTCCTCCACTTATATGTGGGACGCCTACCACAGCATGGCTTGCCAAGTGGTGCCATGTCTGCACCTGGCATCTGTACCGGCAAACCCCGGCCCGCCAAAGTGGAATGTGCACACTTAACTGCTGCACCACTGGGCCAGCCCCAGTATGTTGTATTTTCATTTTTGTTTGTCTCCAGGTGTTTTTTAATTTCTCCTTTGATTTCTTTATTGATCCAATGGTTGTTCAGTAGCATGCTGTCTAGTCTTCACATGTTTGTGACTTACTCAGCTTTTTCCTTGTAGTTTTCTAGTTTCATAGCATTGTGGTCAGAAAAGATGTTTGATGTGATTTCAACCCTCTTAAACTTATTGAGGCTTTCTTGTTTCCCAACATATGGTCTGTTCCATATGCAGTTGAGAAGAATGTGTATTATGCTGTTTTGGGATGGAATGTTCTCTATATAACTATTAATTCCATCTGATAAAGTGTTTCATTTAAATCCACTATTTCCTTGTTGACTTTCTGTCTGTATGATATATCCATTGGTCTATGTGGGGTGTTCAGGTCCCCTACTATTATTGTGTTGCTGTTAATTTCTCCTTATACGTCTATTAATAGTTGCTTTATGTACTTTGGTGCTCCTGTGCTGGGTGCATATATATTCATAAGTGTTATGTCCTCTTGGTGGAAAGTCCCTTTTATCATTATATAGTGCCCCTCTTTGTCTCTCGTTGTCTTTTTTTATCTTGAAGTCTGCTTTGTCTGATATAAGTATGGCTACACCAGCTTTCTTTTGTTTGCCATTAGCTTGGAATATCATCTTCCACCCCTTCATTCTGAGTCTATGTTTGTCTTTAGAGATGAGATGTGTTTCCTGGAGGCAGCATATTGTTGGGTCTTGTTTTTTAATCCATCCAGCTACTCTGTGTCTTTTGATTGGAGAATTCAATCCATTTACATTAGAGTGATTATTGATATATGAGGCCTTAATACTGCCACTTTATTTCTTGTTTTCCAGTTGTTCTATGTTTCCGTTCCTTCTCTTGCCTTGTATTTCTGACTGTCACTTCAGTTTGGTGGTTTTCTCTTTATTTATACATTGCGTCTCTGTTCTGATTTTTTGTTTAGTGGTTACTATGAAGATGGTATGAAAGATCTTGTAGATGAGATAGTCCATTTTCTGATAGCCTCTTATCTCCATTAGCCTAAGCGGGTTTTGTCCCTTTTCTCTTCCCCTTTGGAGTTTTTGTTGTCACAAATTATTGTTTTGTGTTGTGAGTTTGTTACTAAGTTGAATGTTTATAGTTTTGATGCTTTCTTTCCCTTTATCTTTTATGTTATAATTAAGTATTTGCTACCCTGTTTTGAAAGACAGCTGCAGTTTTATGATTCTTTCTATCTTTTTACCTTTTTGCTCAAAGCTTTGTAGACCTTTGCCTTTTTGTTTCAGGTATGAGGGCATCCTTGATCATTTCTTGTAGGGGAGGTCTATGATGATGAACTCCCTCAGCTTTTGTTTATCTGAGAAAGCTTTTATTTCTCCATTGTATCTGAAGGATAGTTTCACTGTATAGAGTATTCTTGGCTGAAAGTTTTGTCTTTCAATATTTTGAATATATCATTCCATTCTCTCCTAGCTTGTAAGATTTCTGCTGAAAGCATGATAGGGGTTCCTTTGTAGATATAATTTCTTCTGTCTTGTTGCCCTTAATATTTTTTCTTTGTTGTTGACTTCTGCCAGTTTTACTAATAGACTTTGGAGAAGGTCTTTTCGCATTGATGTAATTAGGAGGTCTATTGGCTTATTTGTAATTCCAGCTCCTTCCCCAGGTTTAGGAAGTTCTAGACTATTATTTCTTTGAACAAGCTCTCTGCTTCTTTCTCCCTCCCTTCTCCCTCTTGAATACCTATAATTCTTATGTTACATTTCCTAATTGAGTCTGATATTTCTCAGAGAATTCTTCATTTCTTTTCAGTCTTAGTTCACTCTCCTCCTCCACCTGAAGCATTTCTATATTATTGTACTCAAAATTACTAATTCTGACCTCTATAATGTCAGCTCTATTTTTTATGGATTCCATATTGTTTTTTATCTCATTCATTGTGTTCTTCATCTCCAGAACTTCTATTTTAGAGTTTCAATCACTTTTGTGAAGAATTTCTTCTGCTCATTAATTTTATTCCAGAGTTCATTGAACTGTCTTTCTCTCTTTTCTTGTAACTTGTTGGGTTTCTTTATGATAACTATTTTGAATCCTCTGTCACTTAGATTGTAAATTTCTGTGACTTCAGGATTGGTTTCTTGAGACTTGTCATTTTCTTTCTGCTCTGGAGCATTAATGTATTTCTTCATGGTGTTTGATGGAGTGGACCTTTGCTGGTGCACAGTGGTGGTATCTGGTTGCAGATTCTACCTGCCAACACTGGGGGTGGCAGGAGCTGTGTTTTCTGAACCTGTCGTATCTGCTGGAAGTTGTGCCTGTCTCTTGGCAGCTGTGCCAACAGGGCCTGTCTGCGTTTGCCTGCTGGCTGCTACTGCTTCATACACACAGGTGCATGTGCTCTGATGCAGATCCACTGCCCTGGCCGACCAGCCAAGCTGGTACACCAGGCAAGAGTAGGGAGAGGGGTGCTGTCTTTCATGTGCACAATCCCCCATGTTCCCACTCTACACTCACTGGTGGGCTGCCTTGGCTGCTTGGCTTGATGGGGGCACCCTCGTGGTGTCTGAGCCACCTTGGTGTGGAGCATTCCTGTGGGTTGGGAAGCAACACCAAGAGCAAAAGTGATCCTGTGGAGGCCTGTCTGTTCCTCCATCTCCTCTTAAGAGTCATGTGTTGACCACTGCGTGGGGTCCCATGCCCTAGATCTCTGCTGCTGTGGAGGGGGAGGAGATCTGTTTACCTCCTTCCACTGCTTACCAGGGATCCAGTACCCCCACCTTCAGATATATGGCTGTATGGATTTCTCAGATGTCCTGTTGTGCTGTGTATATGTCCTCTGATGGTTAACGAATGTCCTTTTCATTGTATCTTAGTGGGGAGAGACTAAGGGTACAGCTCACTCTGCTGTGATGCTGACATCACTCTAGACTGTACTTCTTAATGGGAAATTTGCAAGATTCTAGAAGAACATATGGAATGAGTGATATTGTTGTAGCCATCTTTGGAAAATACAACCTGCTCAAAGAATCACTGCAATATGATGAAACATTTTTAAACAAACTTACTGATATTTAAACATGCAAATGCCTTGAAAGAAGTTACTTTAGGAAGATATATTCTTTTCTTAAAAGTTTGCTTTTGTGTAGATCGTATTTTGGAACTTAGCTGTTGGAGTTGTTTTAGAAAGCTTGAAAAGATTCATTATGGCTGAATGCTGTATACTACCATCACAATTTGTTGACAAAGAATACGTTTTCCTTCCCCTGGTTTAGGTTTCCAGACTGGAAATTTTACTGATGATTTCTTTGGATCCCAGGGAATACAGTCTACAGTGTTTTCCTCAAGTGTTTCTTCAGATCCTGCCAGCCACGCAAAAGCCCGAGTATAAAAGAAAACTTATTTTGTTCAAGAATGATACCCTAAAGAACAATGACCAAGGGCTTTAACCATTCAACACTTAGCTAACTTAAAACTTAAAAAAAGATATCTGTGTGGGTGTTATATGTGAAGTGAAGGATTTCTTAGATTAAATGAACATGTAAGCTTCTTTCATCAAAACAATCAACATGTCCATAATTTAATCATCCAACCCAGAGCTGGAGTGATATTCAGGAGTGTGTTTCCTGAACAAACTCTGCAATTATCTAGCTGTGTGATTTCTTTAAAGCCTTTGCAACTTCATTTTAATTTGCTGGAATGAGTGGAGATGGGACTGTCATCAAGAATAATTTGTGAATATCTTCTATTTACAAGGCATCCTTGTGCAATTGACTGTTAAAGCAGTTTTATTTATGGCAGGGTCATAGTGGGAGAGTAGCACATTACTTGGACCCTGCAATTTACTTTCATATAGAGTACTTCTAAGATTATTCACTGTGATCTCAACTCTCAGATGACTTCCTTCTGAGAGGCCCTGTTACTGATAGATGTACTTTCAAGTATAAAGCAACAATCAGGATTCATCTTCTCAGCAGAATCTCCTAACAAAATACTTTAAGTTTTTCATATCTTACCCTTTCCACAATCCCTCAAATGAATGTACTATCTGAACATCCCCAGACAAAGTGAACTCAGAATTAAAAAGACTATACAACTTCCCCTTTAGAACCACCATTGGTTTATACTTAACAGCTGTACTCACCTGAGTGTGCACCAGAGTTCAGGAGGAAAGCATATAAAATTTACAGATGGTTGAATTTTATGCTATGGGATTTAAATAAGCATTTTAAATGTCATTCTACTCATGCAATTTTTTTTCACAGCCTCAAAGTTTGGCATGAAATTGTTTTTTTTATATGCATTAAGTTCTGATGAGTGTCTGAGGTCATAATTGAGTCAAGAAAGAAAGGATTTTCTATTAAGCAAAACACTAGAGTTCATAAGTTTATTTTTGTACAGCAAGTGGTTTGACAATTCATGTATTCGTCTGTCATTTCTTCAGTTTTGTGGTTGAGAGCATTTGAAATGCACATGTACGAAATTCCTTCATTTAAATTTTGTCTTTGGTTGTACTTCTTATGGTACTTCCATGTGACAATATTCCACATTCTAGTTCTTCATTTTCTTGTTATTTTCCAATGCTAACACCTAAGGATTTAGAGGAAGAGGGAAGAAGTCAAGGTTCTCTTGTTAGGTCCTAGAGCTTTGAATATACAACTCTTACCCAGTTTTCTCCCTCCTATCTATTCTTTTCCTCAGCAGTCATGCATGGAAAGCAACATTATTCCAGTCATTTCTCTGAAAATAGTTTCCAGTTCAAAGAATTCACTGCAAAGTTCATCTGTGTCCCATATGGGAATTATCATATTCAGAGCTTAGTTTACTTATATTAGAGTTTTAATTCACTATACCTTTGTAAAATAGCACAGTTGGAAATATTTAGTCATTATTTTGTAGATTTGAGTCAGAGAATTTGCATTTAGGATTTAGGAATTATGATACTATTAGTCTTAATAAAAATGATTTTTTTATTGAGTTTTTACTGTGAGTAAATGACCAAGCTAAGTGCATTGTCTTATCTCATCTCTCCAAGAATCTTAGGAGGTAGGCCATATTAAAATCAACATTTCACTGGGGCTGACCCCGTGGCCAAGTGGCTAAGTTCGCATGCTCTGCTGCAGGTGGCCCAGTGTTTTGTTAGTTTGAATCTTGGGCGCGGACATGGCACTGCTCGTCAAGCCACGCTGAGGCAGCGTCCCACATGCCACAACTAGAAGGACCCACAATGAAGAATATACAACTATGTACCAGGGGGCTTTGGGGAGAAAAAGGAAAAAAATAAAATCTTTTAAAAAAAAATCAACATTTCACTGATAAAGAAAATGAGTAATTTCCCAGGTCAACAGTCAGAAAGTGGCAGGCCTGAGAGTCAAGTTCAGATTTGTCAGGCTCTAAAACCAATGCCCTGACCACAATGAGATGCATCAGTGTTTCTCCACTGGAGGTGATTTTTCCCTCCCCACCTCCAGGGGACATTTGGAAATTGAGGAAGTTTCTACTGGTATCTAGTGGGTACAGACCAAGGATGCTGAAAAACATGCTACAATGCACAGGACAGCCACCCACAGCAAAGAATTATCCAGCTCTAAATGCTGATAGTGCCAAAGTTGAGAAACTCTGATATACCCAAATACTTTTCTAAGTCAACTAATGGATTATCCTGAAACTTTGACTTTGTTTACCATGTAGTCTTCAGAATACAGCCTATCCAAATGTATAGACTCCAGGTGAACTTGGATTCACTGACTCTGGAAAACAGAGTATGTTCCATTGTAAGTAGCCTTCTTTATTGTTTGACAACAGAAAATATACTTTTTAAAAATTGGACAAGAAGCCAATTCAAATTTGTATTAAATTTACATTCAAAACCCATAAACAACAAAACTGAGCATACAAGAAAAACAAAGAATGTGTGTGCATTTAGATCTTTTAAGATCAAGTTAAGAAAATTTCCACTGCTGTAATTTTTTCAGCTAGAAAATCACTATTTTTTCCATTGATTTATAAACTTCCTGGGACCCTCTATACTTATACAAATTGTGTGATTAGTCTAGATATTCCAAAAAAGATCTCAATCAGCACATTCCTTGGATTAAAATAACCTAGTCTGGATCAGAGTTACTTGAACAGAAAGGATATAAGGAACTGGCAGCATAATGTAAATTCAAACACCTCGCTAAGCACACTGGTTAGTGCAGCTAGCATTTTTTTCTTTTTAATCATATTGCTTTCTCAAGGAAGGAAACAGTGCATTGATTTACATTCTAGCTTGGTCTTCTTACCTCAAGGTGGACCAGAGGTCCATTCCATTTTAGACAAAGTCCTTTTCGACCATTTTGCAGCAAGTCTCCATTCGTTAATCCAATCCACCCTTTATCAAAGTTAGAGTTTTCTTTTGAACTTCTCCAAATCACTGAGGAGACCTAACTCCTTGGTCTGGATGTATCCATTAAGGTTGTAACCTTACAAACAACAGATATCATCAGTAGTATCAAAAAACAAGGCTTCGTGAAGAACAGTAACTGGAGCAACTAGCAACATCTAGGGAGCAGAGACTGATGAAAAAGTCTCTTCAAAACACTATTGTTGAGATAAATCAGCTTGAAAATTCCTCAGTCTTTGTGTCACTCAATTAAAGATTCACATTCCACGGAGTAGCTGATCTGCCTTGCATAGGTCAAATCTGTATTCTTGGCTGGAAGATGACAGGGCACTGAGATTGAGACTCTCATTCATCTCACAGGGAAAGGGTAGTTTCTCAGAGAAAAATCATGATGTTGTTACTAGATGGAGGAGGCTTCTACTCAAGCGAAAATAGTAGCTGTCCAGTACACTGGATTCCCTTTCTTCCTCTCCCTATTATCTTGAAACCCTGAGAAATATATTTCTGCGTCTTCCAATTTTCATACTATACCTCTTGATGCTTCTGCTGATTCTTTACTGTCACATGAACATAATGGTCTATTCCTCCTCTCTCTTTATTTCTGCCGTAGTTCCTCCTTTTTCCCACTAGTGGGAGAGCCCACTACCACCTCCTCTGTGAAAATCCAAGGATAAGAATTGGGTGTATGTAAAACTTGTAAAAATGAAGGTGAAACTATAGCTGAAATTCAATAGTTGTCTTTCTAGATATTTGGGAAGGTATTTTTCACACTAAGTTTCATGGTACTTCAAAATTCCATGATATATCTATAAGGATTACATTTGCTTTTATACAGACTCTTGCTATTATATCTGTGACTGATGCCAATATCACCCAGAAATTAGGGAATTAAAGTAGGAAAAAGAGTGCAGCCCAGCATCATAGAGAAGGCACATATCACAGGGGAATGTAGGCATTCAAACATTCTGATGAGACGTGATTCTTAATTTCAAAATAACTGCTAAAGTTTAAAAAAATTAAAGGAAATAACAATGCATCTGAAACCCTGGACATGGTACCAGAGTAGAAATGTAAAAAGCTGAGAAAACCTGACACATGGTATTTTTGCAGTTACGTCTTATGCAGAGCCAGAAACTGTCGTATATAAGAATGCGTGTGAGTGCTGTGTCTGCATATGTAGAACTAGGAGAAGAAGTGGGGAAGGAAACTAATATGTAGCAATTTTTTCATGTATGATAAAACGCTATTTATGAGTCTTTTTTAGGATTTGAAAATGGGAAAACATATAATAAAATACCATTTACAAAGAAAGGAATTTTAAAAAGCAGAGATAATGAAACATTTTCTCTGTATAAACATCTTATTCTTCCCTGAAATCACAAACAGCTGCAGTATATTCTGTCTAATTATAACTGAATCATAAGAAACACAGCATGATTAGAACCCTAAGTGGTATCAGTATGGTGCAAGTTGATTTTAAATCCTGAAGTTCTATGTAATTCGGGTTATATTCACACTTGAGTCATCAGTTTTAAAGAAATAATACTAGTGTTAATTTGGGTTATTTACTAATGTAGCTAAATGTCTTTAGCACTGTGGAATATTTTAATAAATGGTAAGGCATTATTAGTTCAGATACCGCTTATTAAGAATTTATGGTTATTGTATACTAATGGAGTTTACCTTTGCATTATCAGTGGAAAGGGAAAAATATTTTTCAGAGAATTGTTTGTTTCCATAATAATAAGGGCTAACTATTTTCAGGTACCAGTTTAGCAGTGAAGATCTGTTCTTTACATATGAAATTATAAAACTAAAGAATTTGGAGGGTCCTCTCAGATAGGGAAGTATACCAAGAGTGTGAATTTTCATATCTAATAAATAGACTAGTAATTATCATCTGATCTTTAGTTCTTGCTTTTGAAAATACACCTCTTCTCATGAATCTTATCACTTAAATTGTAAATTTACAGGGATCTAAGCCTCAGGGACTAGGAAACATTTAGTCCTACTCTCTCTTTTTCATGAAGTTATCACCGAGTGTCCAGGACCTCCTATAAGCCCAATCTTCTCATAAATATGTAGAGGCAACACACACTGCGATATGTTACCCTGAGCACATATGCTGCCTAGACAAGGACACCTTGAGTTAAAACCTGGAAAACAGTCCAAAGCCCTACATGACTAAGAGGTTGATTAGGACAGATAGGCTCGAAATGCCATATAGAATGAGCTAAGTCTGAAAAGGAGCTGGGGTAGTTTCACAAAGAATAGCTTCATTTACCTTCAGAGTTTCCCTGGGCTCCAAATCCAGAAACTGAATTGCAAAACTTGAAGACCAATAGAGAACTTTGAAGCCCAGTTTATCTTGTTCCTTAAATGGAATCTTCTTTTTCACCTAAACCTCGATAGCATGCATCTAAGTACTTTTAGTTCTCTTCTTCAACCTTAGAATTAGTTGTATTCCAATACTTATGTTATTTCAATACACAGTTTCCCCAAGATTCTGATAAATTGTGGTCATTTTATTATTATTATTTTTTTTTTGAGGAAGATTAGCCCTGAGCTAACTGCCACCAATCCTCCTCTTTTTGCTGAGGAAGGCTGGCCCTGAGCTAACATCTGTGCCCATCTTCCTCTACTTTATACGTGGGACGCCTGCCACAGCATGGCTTGTCAAACGGTGCCATGTCCGCACCCGGGATCCAAATGGGTGAACCCCGGCCCGGCGCCAAGTGGAACATGTGCACTTAACCTCTGCATCACCAGGCTGGCCCCTATGGTCATTTTAAAAAGGCACTAAAATGTTACGAGACTGTGATATCTTACCTACAGTTCTAACAGGTAATTACATTCTAGACTAGTGAAATTTTCAACTAGTTAATTAAAGTAATATTTCCTTTTCATCCTGAGACTAATGTATGGTGAGGCCAGGTACTCATTAATAAACCACTACCTTCCCCCCAGAGGGCAAAAACTGTCTGGGACTGGGAAAGTGAACCATGACTATATAATTTTAAATGAATTCATTGAATATCTGTTGCTTGTCTTTTAAAGAGATTCTCAGAATTCATCTGGATGTATTGGCCTTCCTAGGTTTCTATCTAACCATTGCTTCAATCTCAGCCTAAATCCTTCCTCTGGATAGGTCTCCCTAATGACAATTGCTTCCCTCTGGATTGCTCAGTGTTGCCCCTAGCACCATGTTCCATGAACCATGACAATAACAGCTGAGGAAGACCCTCCCCTGCCAAACATCACCACTTACTGACACCTCTTTTTGTAAGACGTGACCAAATGCTCTAGATCCAAAGATTTTTATCTAATCATCTTCATTGTAAATACTGACAGCTGAGACAGCTCCCCGGTGCCTTTTTGGCCCTAAAAAGTGAATCTAATGCCATCCTAGCATCTCCATACCATCAGCTCTCAGACTAAGTAATTTTTTATGCCTCTTTAAATAGTCTAAGGATAGAATAATCATGTCCCACTAACCCCCTACACATTAGAGTCTTCTTTATGTTCAGCCACATCTCATCCTATATTTGAACAATGTTTTTAACCACATTTTTATTAAAAAATTTTCAAACAGAAGAGTTGAAAAAATAGCGCAATGAACATATGCCCACCATCCAACAACCTATAGTCAACAGTTAACATTTGCTGTATTGCTTTATCTATCTCTTGTCTATCTCTTTCTGTTATCTATTTTGTCCATCTTGCTGAATCATTTGAAAATAGATTTCAGAGATAATGTTACTCCTAAATATTTCAGCGTGCATATAGAAAAAGGACATTCTCCTACATAATCACAATACTATTTAACACGGATAATTAGTAATAATTTCTTAATCAATTGATATCTAATCAGTTTATCTAATCTACCAATCTATCTAATTTACCCAAAAATACCCTTGCAGCTGCCTTTTCAAACCAGGGTTCAATCAAATTTCACATATTTCATTTGATTATTACCTCACCTTAGTTTATTTTCGTCTATAACAATCCCCCAACATTATTTTTTTCATGATATTGACTTTTTTAATGAGATTAGGCCAATTGCCTTGTGAACTATCCCACATTCTACATTTGTCTCAATGTTTTCTTGTTGGGTTTTTAACTTGTTCCTTGATACCCTGTATTTCCTATAATCTGGAAGTTAGATTTAAAGTCTTGGTTCAAGTTAAGCATTTTTGCAAGAATACTTCCTGGGTGATTCTGAGCACTTTATATTGCATCACATCGGGAGACATATAATGTCAGGTTTCCCCTCTATTGGTTATACAAATTTGATAACTTTTGGGTGGTTACCACTAGTTCTCTCCATTGTTAAGGTCTGCTTTTCCGTTTGCAATTAGAAGGTAAACTGCGTGGTGAATGGGTTATTGGGAATAGGGCCATGCATTTCCCAATAACATTTCACATAAGAGTTTATCATTCTTTGATGATAAACTGTTTGATGATCCTCTATGGGAATAATCATTTCATTGGGATTGCAAAATCGTGATTCTCCTATCATTTCCCCTACATTTATTAGCTATTAATCTAATATAAAGAGTTTTCCATAATAAAATGCCCATGGGCAACAGCTTCTCCCAGAAAGGCAGAAAAATTCTTACTTACTTTTAATTATCAACTTTTAAAGTAAAAAGTTGGTATGTCAGTTACCTCTGATAATGGCAAATATGTTCCTCCTCCACCCCCTCCCCACTACTTGCGCGCTGTCTCATTTTCTTTTTCTATCTCTCTCTAAGAACCACTGTGGACTTGTAATTTCTTACATATTTAGTGTTTTACAATCAATGATAGTGGATCGTGTCAATAAAAAAATTTTTTTTTTTTTTTTTGAAATATACATACATATGTATACTATTTCTTATGGGTTTTTCTAGTTAAAATTAATACTATAGGTTTTTAATTTTTGCTTTATATTTGTACCTCTTTTATAATGAAAATTTTAGTTCCTAAGATATTTACTAATTTTTTTATCCTATCATACCAAATAGATTCTAAGTTATAATACCAATAGTTACTAATAAGAATAAAACTGTTGAGTGAAAGTTAAGATTTATTTAAAGTGCTTTTTGTGCTTAGAATGCATACTAAGATGATAGTCTTAAAAATACAATCGGAATGCTGTGTCAAAAGTCACTTGAAACGATTTTCTCTCTGAGTTGTATTGCTAATTTAAAATAGATTTAGATTTATTTATTTTGGCTTCTTTTCAATTTTAGAGTTTAACTTGTCCTATTTTTAAAAATCTTTTAATATAGAAGATATTTACACAGTTCAAAAGTCAAAATTATATAAAAAGAAAGCCCAGAAAATTCTTGCTTCCTTCTCTCTACCCCCTACTTCATTTTTCCCGTTCATCTGCTATAGGTCACCATTTTAAAGAATTTTCTATTTGCAACACACACGTACACATACATGCACACACACTCATGCACACTCTGTTCTGCACATTCCTTTTTCCACTTAACAACACATCCTGAACCTTACTCCATATCAGTACATAGAGATAGTCTTCATTTTTTTTAAGATCTGCAGAATACTTCATTGGATGTAGGTGTCATAGTTTATTTCATCATCCCTGTTGATGGACATCTGGATTACTTTCAATCTTCTGCTGTTACAAAAAAAGCACTAGTAAATAACCTTGTGCATATGTTCTTTTGTATTTGTGGAGATATGCCTCTTTGGGAAGATTCCTGGCAGTGAGGTTCTTAGGTCAAAGGAAAATGTGAAGATAATTTTGTTAGATATCGTTAAGTCCCCCTTCAGAGGGTTTGTGCCATTTTCACTCCCATGAGCAATATATGCCTCACTGCATTGTTCAAGTGTTTGGGTATGTGCCAATCTGATAGGCGAGAAATATCTCAGTGTAGTTTTAATTTGTATTTTTCTTATTATGAGTGAGGTTAAGCATCCTTTCAGGGGCTCAAAAGCCGTTGGTCTTTTTATCAACTGTCCATATCCTTTGCCCAATTTTCTATTGGGGTTTTGAACTTTTCCTTCACTGTTTAAAGATCTTCTTATGTATTAGAACAGAGTAGTGATTCTCAGCTGGGCATGATTTTGCCTCCCTCTCTGTTCTCCTCTCCCGGACATTTGGCAATGTCTGGAAGCATTTTTGATGGTCACACCTGGGGAGGGAGTGCTACTGGCATAAAGTGGGTAGAAGCCAAAGATGCTGCTAAACATTCTACAATGCATAGGGCAGCCCCTACAACAAAGAATTATCTAGCCCTAAATGTCAATAGTGCTGAAGTTAAGAAACGCTGGATTAGACCTTTGTCTGTGATATAAATTGCAAATATTTTCTCCTGATTTGTCCTCTGATTTTGCCTATAGTAGAATGTTTCTTCTCTTTTAAGTAGTTTACTCTCTCACTCTTTTCTCTTATTGCTTCTGTATTTTAAGTCATGGTTAGAAAGGCTCTCCCAACTCCCAGGTTATAATAGAATTAACTGTGTTTCCTTCTAGAACTTGTGTCGTTTTATGTTTTATACTTTTGTGGAATTAATCTTGAGGTAATGTGTGAGGTAGGATTCAATTTTTTGCTTTTCCTAAAGGGCTGTCAAGCTGTACCAATACTATTTGTTCTAAAGATCATCTTTTCCCCCAGAGATTTGAGAAGCCAATTTTATCATACACCCAATTTCCATATATACCTGAGTCTATTTCTGAACTTTCTATTTGTTCTGTTGTCCTTCTGTCTATTCATGGACCAATACCACACTGTTTTAATTATAGAGGCTCTACAACAGAAGGAATATGAAGCAGAGGATTAGTTATATGGATGATAGAAGAGTAGAGAAGCCAAATAGAGGGCAGTGAGGTGCCCTAGAGACTAGGAAAAGCAGGAAGCCATTAGCATCCCAAGGCTGTGAGACAAAAGGAGACGATGGTGTTATCAGAGCCCAGGGACCAACAAAAGCAAGGATATAATAATGGAACCATTGAAAAGAAACAATCACTAATGGAGATGCTTCTCAAGGCAGAAAGAGAGGGAGAAAAATACCCCCGGCTTCTCTCTTCCTAACGCTTTCTAGTCTCTCATAAGAGCTTCCTGTTGGCTGTTCAAGTCTACCCAGAAACCAGTGATTTGGAAAAACAGCCCACAGGGATTGGGCCCATGTGATGCAGAGAAGAACAGGAGAAGAGAAAGGGGAGGATCTTAGGGCAGGTAAGTTCAGGGTCAGCAATACTGGCTTTCTTAGTTCAGGGGCTACTTCTGTTGATATGTGAAGGATATTTTTGTTTGTTTTGTTTTTTCTTCTGTTGATTTTTGTTACTGTTTATCTTTTTAATTTTTCATCCACTTTTTCATCTTTAATTTTTCATCCATTTTTGTTTCAGTATGACTTATTTTAAGCAGTTTCTTTTTCCCCCTTTATAACCAAACCTTCAAGGAACTCCTGAACTACCTAGAGTGCCACTTCTTTATCAGGAGAGGCACCTGATAGAGACCACCACTTCCAGTCTTACCCTGTGTCTAAGTTCCTTTCTTCCAACTCCCCAGTATTCAGCACTCTGATCTACCAGATGTCAGGTGTGTTCTGAATATTGTCTCACCTAGAATCAGACTACGTACTACCCTTAGATCCAGGCAAGTGTGGCCTTGTCTTCAGGGGTCCCTAGCTTTGGAGTGACTTCTTCAAAAATTTTCCAAGGCCCTCTTCAGTGCCTTGGACTGATTGGGGCTGACAGTGCCTGACAGTGCTATCTGGGCATGGCTCCCTGAGCCCAGTGTAGGATCCACATGGCTCTAGTCCCCGTTGCTTACATTTGAGGCACTCTGTAACTCTCTACTCTGCACATGGAATCATCAGATGCCTCTCAGGAACTCGAGGAATGACACACTTCTAGGTTATCTCAGGGCCCCATGGCCAGTCCCAGTTCTATAAGAGTAGCCTGTTAGTGAGTCACTCCTGCTTGCCACCACAGTATTTCTTTTGTGGGATCACATGAAACTGGTCCACCAGAATAGCGCTGACATGCTCATTTGGTTGAGTGTCACTCACATCAGATTCAAGGAAAGTTTCAGGCCTCTGGGGTACCAAACGTCTGTCACGCACCCTTGGGCATGAGCTGTGGGTCTGTGCATCAGCTATCACTGGCCCATGTTTGACCACTGTGCTGCCTTCAGTCTATAGCACTTGGGAGCAGCAGGGACTGCAGGAGGTGTCCTTGACCCTATGCACTCCTGGCCACTGGCACCCAGGATTCTCACCCCACTCCCTCTGTAGGCTCCATACCACATGTCAGGTAGTCCTCTGGGGATGTCTATGTTGCTTTCTTCTAATACCTTTTGAGACTCTTGCTCAGCATTGCCAATGGGCCCTTCTGACCAATGCTTTCCAACTCATGCAGTGATATTGTGCTCTCCAGGGGCAAGTCTAAGCCATGCTGAATGACAAAAGGATGGACATTCCTTTTGCACGAACAGAACACTTCCCACACTTCCCATAGGCCTGTTGCCTGTCTTTCCCACTGGTGGCAGTTTGTGGAAGATGAGATTATAGACAACATCAAAAGGAATGCCTTTTTAGGAAGGCAGTGATTTTGGCTTAAATAGTTAAAGATAAACATGGTTAGAAGATGCATTGACTTTATGCTATAAAATTGCAATCAGTAAACTTAACGTGACCAGAAAACAAACTATCATTCTCATTTTCTGGAATACTCCGGGAATGACTTACATTTGTGATCATCATCAACAAAGCACAGTAACCACTTTAAGAGACATTGAAGTTAGAATTACGGGTAGAATGATAAATAATGCAGTGTCTTGAGTATTGATGTAACCAGCGTTAAGTAAACGGTATTAGGACTGCAGATGCAAAAGGATCTTTTTCTGTTGTTTAAATATACACAGGTTCCAAAGAGCTGTGACAATAACTATATAACTATAATCATATTGGTACCTTTTTCTCCTGGTAGAAAATATGCAATTGGCTAGGAATGGCACATATGACAATAACAAACATGAAGATATGGTTCCTGGGTCTGAACAGGAAGAGATAGTGACCAGATACTATGAAGAATCTTCATGTGCACTGATTGTACAGTAAACAAATAAGTACCTTTTCTCTACCCATTATTCTAAATCTTCATCAATAAATCACTGTACTTCACATAGTCTATACATTTGCTAATACATTTAAATCTAACTCTTTATATAGACAAGTATCCCACAAAAACCAAATGTTTGCCTGGGCTTCACATGCCGTATGAGTGGTTGGACCTTCTTTTTGAGGGGAGAATGCTTGCTGACCCCTTGTGTTTTACCACTATGGAAAACCTGCCTCACTTTCCTCTTGGGTGTGCAATGTCCCTTCTCCCCACCAAAGGGAGGGCTCTGGAGCCAACTTTGTTGGTTTCAGATGATCATTTCTCCCACTTACATGTAAGTCGACTCTGTGTCCAAATGATGCTCTGACATGAGTTATGATAATTTTATTTGCTCTCCTTGGTTTGATCTGAAAGATTTGTTGAATAATGGTAGAAGGATTCAGTTAGGTAGCTTATATTATCCTATAAGAATTGAAACTCAAGGGTAAATTCATATTTTGTGGGGCCTGGAGCTTTTATAATTTGGAGGCCCTCTTTAAGAAGAAGAATATTATGTAAATAATTAGGTACAGGGTTCTAGAAGATTTTGTTATAACTCAGAGGTCCTGAAACTGAAGCATCATGAGCTTTGTGGTAAATCCACCTTTGATTGAATGGCAATTTTTTTTTAAATTCTCAATCAATGCAAAATATTGTCTATCTCATCTAAATTTCACCATGTTAATTTTCTCTCTCTTGAGATCCTGTATCTGTTATACTATATCATTTATTCCTCTTGGCTTCATGCCATTTGTAAATTAGCATTTCATCTATAATTTCATTTAAATCACTGTACAATAATGAATAAGTCAGTTGAAGATTTTACTACATAGATTTTATTGAAGTATTTGTTACTAAGGGAAATAATCTCTTCCCTCCTTGCCTACTTAGTTTCTATTTTCTCCTTTAAAGTCGACCTTCCTATCCTACTATACTTATCTTTTTTACTAGAAGTGGAAATTGGGAAGTCTGCTGATGATTTATTTATAAGATAGGTAAAGGAATGTGTCCTTTATCTGCGCTGTCCATAAAGAGGTGAGGGGAAAATTCACTTAATCTTGGTGAAATATTTGATGATTTCAGAGCAGACTTGTAACAATCTTCTAGGTTCTCATAATTCTCGGACATCATTGAGATGTACAATTTGACTCTAGTAGGATATGTAATTATTTAGTCTAAGATCAACTTACTTTGGGTATGTATCTCACAATTTCTTTCATTTAGTAATCAAATGTAAATAAGATAACAAAGACAACTTAGGAAGTAATTATTTTCATACTCTTAGACCCCTACTTGGATAAAATGTATCCTTTAGAGATTATTGAACACTTCACAGAAGAAAATGCAGAAATTAGCAGATAAATTGATTCTATTAAGGTATGTGACTATAAAAATTATACTGAAGCTTGGTTGATAAAATACATATTGAAATAAACTTTCAAGAAATTGGTAGAAAATATTTTCCTGAATATGTGGTATAAAGTGTTAGAAGACCACGTTAAAAATAAAAATTCACCTTCTTGTTTAATTTCTGCTTCTAACCAGCTGTATAACTTTGGATATGCTATTTAGTATTTCTAAGTCTTAGGGTTTATGACCTTAAAGGACATTTTCATTTCTTCCATTCATTAGAATGTGCATTAACATGAAGAGTTTGAATTCAAAAATCATATTTTTTGACCTTCAGCCACTTACCTTGGGCAAAGTATTTTATGTCTCTAAGCCTCAGTTGGCTAAACTGTAAAGTAAGGTTCTACCTCATAGGGTTTTTACGCACGGACTAGATGAGTCAACATATGTAAAGTACTTAGCCAAGAGACTGGCAGGTAATTAGAGCTCATCCAATGTTGGCAGTTATAATATGGTTTTATTGTCTCAAGTTATTTTCTAGGCGTAGATGAAATTGCTAATGCTATAGTTGTCATAAATGCCTTCCACCTTTGAATGTACCAGTAGATTTTAGCAATATACCATTTCATTTCACTGAGCTGTAGAATCAATGTCCTTGGGATCAATGCTATAGGATATTATCTACAGTGATGTTGATGGTTAGGATTTTCTTCTTATTCCAGATTTATAACATTCTCAGAAAATGTCTAATTATTTTCTTCCCTACATAGTATATATGTTTTGCTTCATGTTTTTTTTGGCACTTGGAATTTACATAGAAGCTTTCATGTATTGACATAGGTACTTAGATAGTCATCTTCTTGATAACATATGTGAATATAAATAAAATGTGGAGATAAAATATAGAACACATAATTTAAAGTTACTTTTTCTTTGGAAATTAAATGTAGTCAAATGCTTAGCATTTCTCCCACTCACAATGCTATTATAAAGCATAAATAAATCACCAATCGTCACAAGTTATGTAATTTTAGAGGTTTTAAATGATGAATTTCATCCAATTAATTAGAAAACACCATATAGATATTCAAATGTTATCATTCAGATAGACACAAAATTCACTAAGTCATATTAAAGCTAATTTATCAACCAAACCATATTGACCATATATTAATAGTGCTAGATCATTAACCCAAAACTTACCATGTTTGTTGTAAGTTCTTAAACACTTAATTCTGACAAATAGCTTCAGATACATCTATTAACTTCTCTACAGATATTCCTTTCCTTCCCTTCTCTCTTATGTCTTATTTTAGCTGATATGGTACAATACCAGGCATAAAGGAAGGAACAAAAGCCCTGATAATAAGGAGTTGCTTAACAAAGTGTTTGGAATGAGACTTTCAAAAATAGTTTCTTTTTATCAGTTTAATACAAAGTACACCTAGTACCTGATTAGTCAGCTTTTGCTGTAACAATAAACCACAAAATATTAATGACTTAACAACAATGAAGATTTATTTCTTACTCACAGGTTTGCAAGTTGGCTGGACTCCACTGGGCAAGACTAGGTTCAGTTGGGTTTGGGTCAGTTGTTCTATTCCATACGTCTTTTCACTCAGGCACTCAGGCTCCAGAAACAATTATTTGTGGCATGCTGTACTTGTGGCAGAGGGCGTAATCTTAAGAGAGTGAAGAGAGTCATGTAGTGCCTCTTAAAGCCTCGCTTAGATCACTACAGTGGCCCTTCTACCACATTCCATAGGTCAAAGCAAGTCACATGGCCAAACCCAGTCAGTGGGTCAGAGAATTATACTTTGTCCACAGGGAAGCTATGCTGAAGGAGGAGATTAATAAACATGAACAAATAATGGAATCTTCTATAGTACTTTATATTTTTTAGTATAAGACATTTGGCCTTCAAAGACCCCTGGATTCACACTTGAATCATTAGGTCTTTTATGTACAAGGTAGAGTCATAGAATTTTAGCATTTTAGAGGTGAAGGGACTTTGAAGAGTCTGTATTCCCATTGCTTCATTTTGCAGATAAAATAGTGTGACCTGGAGATGTTAAGTGACTCTTGACCGTGATTAGATTCTGTTAGTGGCAAAGATGGATGTGAAACCCAGCTTACCTTTCTTCACAATTAGTGCATTATACCATCAGTTGGTTAATTATTTAGTCTAGACTTAGGTACTCTCTGAGAAGTGAAAATTCCAATTCAGAATAGAAATCTGAGTTTGCCATAGCTCTCTTCTCAGCCCAGAAAGATTTAAATAAATGTTACAGTGAGCTGGATTCTTCACCAAACTCTATAAGTCAAAATATAATGAAACATTAATACTTCAGCAAAACCACTGGAAGAATAGAAAGACAAGAGAAGATAAAGTATAATTGATATTTATGTAACTATCAGGATTACAAAATAAACAAAAAATAATTAAAAGTAATTTATGCTAAGATTAACTACTGTAGTGCCTGAAATAGATACATAAAAAGCAAAGAGTGTATTAAATGTTGACTAACACTTGAAGAATTAATTTTCTTTGGGACCATTGAGTTCTCCATTACATAAGGTGAGTGGTACCTCTGTAAATGCAAACAATTTTCAAAGATACTATAAAATTGATTATATATTAGGAAAGCGTTCATTTACAAACCGTTTTTATCTCTCTTTTAATAATAAGAAAATTTTCATAAATCTCAGAATTTCTATTGCAATAATAACTGAATCATTTTGATTAGCTTAATTTTCATGCACTTGGCACATTTGACTACAAATATTTTTTCAATCTGTTAAAGAATGATTATCTGTGATTTCACGCAAGTCACCTGGGAAGCAAGCAATAGACTCTGGAGAATTCTGAGGAGTGCTAGATTGCCTACCTGAGTAGCAGTCTAGGCTAAGTACAACAAGAAGAGAAAGATGTGAAAAGGGGAGTGAGCATGTGGAAACCAGACATAGAAGTAGTAGATTAGTTCAAGTGCCTGAATTGTAGAGAAAATGCGTAAAGTTGGATAACAGAGGGATATTTCATCCTTAGCCTCCAAAACAAAATAAGAAACTGGATCAAAAAAAATCTTGAACGAGTGATTGGATGTAATATATTTAAGAAAAGTTTTTAAAAGAAGATGAAAGTGGAGAGATCAACTTCATTTCACCAATGTTCTGACATTTTTGCCTGGCTAATTCCTCTTCATACGTTCAAACTTTTAATTTTATTTTCTTTGGCAAGCTTTTCTTTCTCCCCCAAGTCGGGACCTGTGGCTCCTCATAGTACTGTACACTTGCCCCGTGACAGCTTACCTGTAATATAATTGCATGCTTGCTTGTCTAGTCCCATCTCTACATTCTTTCAGCTCCATAGAGGAGGGACCATTTAAATTTTATCAGCTGTTCTATTCATGGCATCTGGTACGAGCCTGGCTACATATAAAGTATTCCAAAGTATTTGCTGAATGAAGGAAGAGTGATGGAGTGGAACTCTGTGTGTACGTGTGTGTGTATGTTCGTGTGTGTGTGTACACTGCATGCACACATATGCATGGTGGGAGTCAGGGACTTTCCCTACAAGATATTAGAATGGTCAAACTTACCGCATTAAAAACTATGGTAGTAGAGTCTAGAAATCCATAGAACTTAATAGAATTCAAAGACCCTAAGAAATGTAAAATCATAATGAGTTAAACTTACCACTTTAAAAATTATGGTATTAGTAGGTTGTAGAAACCTATGAAACTTAACAGATAGAATCTAAAGACCTTACTAAATATAAAAACATAATATTTTATTTAAAAAATGTCAACATGCCATAGGAAGGATGAATTACCCTACAAATGATATTGAGAACAGTCACAATTTAGGGGAGTAAAATAAATTTCATTGGATTACAGACTTACAGTCAAAGCAACAAGGAATAAAGCATGGATGATGTTTTTGACTTTTACTTGGGGAAGAATTTCTAGCAATAAAAGCAGTGGAGTTAATCAGAAATAAAATGGTCAATATATTAGACTACAAAAATTAAGATCATCTGAATGCCACAAAGCAGCATATGAAAATTGAGGTAAATGCTGCATTATAAAAAATTTTTTAACAAATGGTTACCATCTTAACAATAAAAAGAGTTCTTAAAAATCAGTAAGAAAAACACCTATATGTCAGTATAAAGCTGGGTAAAGAAAATAGACAATTTGAAGAATATTCTCAATTGGACAAACATGTTCTACTTCACTAGTAATTAAATAAATACAAATTAAAGCAGCAATATAATATTGTATTATTAAAAATAAGAAAAAAGTTTAAAAATTATAAAACAACACTGATAAGATTAGGCTAAGCAATGTATTCTTATCACGTAGTGGTTGGAATATGAATTGATACTTTTCTGGAATGTTATTTAGCAAGTATCAAGATCCTTAAAAATGTTCATACTCTTTGAACTTACAATGCCACTTTTAGGAATTCATCCTTATCATAACCAAAGATGTAGTTTATAAATGGAAGGTTTTTTTCCTGTAATTCATTAAATAAGTATTTATTACATTCCAACTACAGATACACTGTGTTAGATGTTAGGGATATAACAGTCAACAAAACAAGACACTTATATCTCAGGGGGACACAGAGACACATAAATAGATGATCATTATAATAACTATTATTTAAATAGGTTAAGTTTTCAAGCACTATTCTAGGTGCGTTCTATGTATTAACTGTTTATCCTCCTGGCAACCTGATAAGGCAGGTACAATTGCAACCTTGCTGAAGACAGAGAGGTTAAGTGAGTTTCCCAAGGGCACTTAGCCCATGCTGGAGATGAGAACTAAACCTAAGACTGTGATTATGTCCACACTGTTAACCATTATGTGAGGAAGGATATAATGCAGACTGCATTATTCATAATGCTAAAAAGTTGTCCAACAATAGAAAAAAGTTAAAGAAATTAAGCTATATTTAGATGATAGGATTTTATTCTGCAATGATTTAAAAAATGAGGCTTTCCAAAAACTTCCAGTGACTTGGGAAATGTTTATAATACAATATTAAATAAAGCTGAATACAAATCAGCACAGATAAAATGAATCCAATTTTATTATTAAAAAGTTTTATACATAGATATGTGCATTTGTAAATACATTTCTATGTAGCTATTCATTTAACGTTTGTTTCCCTCACTAGATTCTGAGTTGATGAAATGATTCTTGGTTGGTTTACCACTGCACACCTAATAATTACCACCGTGCCTGGACCTAATAAATACTAAATAAGATGTAACTGAATGAATGAATGGCAAAAAAAAAAAAAAAAAAAGGATAGAAAAATATCTACTTTAAAATGCTGGCAGTGATTTTCTCTAAATTCTGGAATTTTTGGTTATACTTATTAGATATTTCCAAAATTCTTTCTAGTGAACATGTATAGATTTAACTGACTTAGGTTTTTAGAGTGAAGTAGGTTCTAAAGGGAACCTGTGTTTAAACCGAATTAACAACCATCTGTTTTAGATGGTTTAGGCATCAATCTGCTAGAAAGACAGGAAATTGAACCAGATGATCCCCCAAGATTCCTGTTACATACAATTTACATAGTATACCAGGTGTCAGTTTATCATCTCAGCTGCAAATTTACACCCCATTGCCTGCTCTGCAAAAATGTAGATGAGCCCTTTAAATATTTTTCCTTTGCCAGTCTGCACCATGTTATGTTTTGTCAGTTGAGGACGCTAGAGACACATAATAGGAGAAAGGAGTTTCTCCTTCCTGGTTCTGATATGCTTGTTCAGCAGGCTCCTGCACTGTAAGCAACTTCTCCAGCATCAGACTCCTGCAGTGCACAGCGGTCAACAGCATCCGGCAGTCTGCAGTTTATCCCAGCACCCACCTTGGGCAGTTTCTTAGTGGAGTGACTCCAGCAACACATCTCCCTATGAACAGTTTCCTTGGCATTCTAGAGAGCAGATTTCCAGCAAGTTCTGGAGGGCAGATCTTCAGCAACTTACTCTGGCATAGGGCACCCTATTCAGTGAGCCATGGCTGTGTCCTCCCTGACAGGTCTGGATCAGCCTTGGAGCAGACATGTCTTCCTCAGGCACTCCATCTCAACCCTAGGGTAGTGACTGCTCCTTATATCTGCCATTCTTATATTCTTTAGAGTTCCCTTTACTCTTTACTGGCCGGCCAATCCTTCAATATGCCAATCCCCTGTTATAGTAAACAGTTCTCTATATATTAAACTTTTCCTGTTCAGATTACTGTGTAGGTTCTGTCTCCTGATTGGACCCCAACTTATACACCTGGATTTTGTGAATTTCAATTATTTTATTATAATTTCCATCTTCTCTTCACTTAAAAAAAGGGTAAGGTATATAACTAAAATACTGCAAGGGGTATGTTTATTATAGAAGTCAAGAACCATAATTATTCAAATATGGAAAAGGAGACATAAAGAAAATCTCCTCAAAGCATATAAAATTCCAAATGAGCAGATATATGGTGTAAGCTAGGTAAATATCTCTTAAGCAGGGAAGGAGGAAATGTAGGTATTAAAGAAAAATATTCCCTTCTGCAATGGTAAACAGCATGAAAGCAGAGCTATTAGCAAACAAGTTATTACAGGGGGAAAACCATCAGAAGACAAAATGATATATGCAAATAAGAAATAAAATCTGAAACTCCATATAGGGGCCACCAAATCAGAAAGCCAAGCAAACAGAAGTGAGCTCCTTTTTTGCAGGGCAGTGGTGCTTATCTAATTCTGAATAATATTTTTCTTTCATATTGGTATTACTCACCTTTGATTCAAAGGACGACTAATAAAAAAACAGAATAAACCTGACCTTTTGTTAAGGAATGAGTTTGCCACAGGAAAAATAAATAAATAAAACTGAAAATGCAAATCTGAAGTAATTATTAAAATGAATTACACAGAGAAATTTGCATCAAGACTAAGGAAATAACTCTAGCACTATCCCAATTTGTGGTTACCAATTATGAAACCTGAAGCACATTTATCTTATTTCACGAGGGTTATTGTGATGATGTAGAAATTCTGCTGGCTTAGGCCTCAGATGGCCTAGGTTTAAAATCAGGGATTCAAAGGAATGGTTATTTACAAATATTTTGAGATAAAAAAATTTATCAATTAAAGGAAATAATATGTATAAAATATCTAACTAACATATTATATTGCATAAAATAAGCACACAATAATATTAGATATCATGCTGTTAGTTATTAATAGTAATACAGCCAAAGATCATATTGAGCTTTTATTAGCATCACACATTATTACTTGTTCAAAATGCCTTTGAGTTTTTTTCTATAAAGAAACTACTGTACTGGGAAAGGTGGAAGATATGAAGATTGTTGGATATGCTAGTATCCTCCTAACTTCTTAATTCCCTATCCAAAGATTGTTTGACTCATACACTTATCTTTTGCTCAACTTGAAGTCAACAGAAACTTATATTTTTTCTATCCACTCTTATTATCTCACAGGTCCCCTGTCCTTTACTTGTGCAATTGATTTTGCCACCTAAACCCACTGTTTAATCTTATCCATGTTAATATTACGGGTGTTTGTCCCAATGGTCCAGGACTCAAGGCCATTTTGACATTTGTTGTATTAGCTCTCTTTCCCAATGTTGTGACAACCATGGATTTGCTAAGCATCTCTTTTGGGTATCCACGCAAAGTAGAGATGATGGTTCCTATTTCATGAGTATCTATTATATGCCTGATACTATACATATATCACCTCACTTCATGCTCCCCATGAAGAAATACTGAGGCTCAGAGAGGTTCAACATCACATACAAAGAAAGAAACAGAGACAAACTTTAAATCTAGATCTTTGATTTTGAAGCACATGCTTTTGCCGTTATATTTATGATTCCTAATGTATCAGAAATCACATGAGAAACAATTACATGTTTCCTAGGCTTTACACAAGAGTGTTTGATTCATTAGGTTCGGAATAGAACCCAGGAATATGCATTTGAGAATTGCTACATGACTTCATGATGTCTCTAATCAACAGGAAAGAGTTTATGGTTCCTATCAGACGCCTGTGCATGTTACTAAAGATCTCTTTCCTGATTGTATAGACCCACTTATTAATACTCACTGGATACAGTGCATCAGATTGTGCTATTATTTAACATATATTTGCTATTTAGTTCATAGGACTTTTGTGATACTTCTTTTATTTTGCATGAAGCAGAAGAGAACCCTGTGTGCCAGTAAGGAGCTTACCTGAAATCAAGATGATCTACATAAACATGAATTCATCCTTTCTTTGGACTATAATCCTAGTAACTTCAATGGAAAGGAAAATTACTTTAGTATTCAACTAGTGGTCTCCATGACAGCGTAAAATGGATGCCTGAAGTGGTAGGATTATACAGAAAGAAAACAGGCTCTGATAGGGAAAATGAGAGTACATTACAGACAAATTCCATCCTTTTCCCAGTTCCTCTGACAGCTGGCACTAGGAGCTAGAGAAGAAAGCAACAGAATAATGTCATCAAGGAAACATTCCATAGAGGAAATGGATGGGACATAAGCTGAAACCTTAAAGAATAGGCAGGTCCTGGCATAAGGATGGAGAATATAGCAAGCAAAGTGAAGGAAAAGAACAATGACAACATGCAGAAAG